GGTATGCAAGCAGTAGACATTAGACATGTTGTTTCTCTTTGAGTCTGGACTACATAATTATCGTGAATAAGGGGTTTCGGGAGGGGCTCATTCTCGTGAAGATTATTTGTCAAGTCTCGAAGTGGGAAAAGGTCTGACTGCGCTTCTCAGAGCCGCAGCCCCTTGGCACGTGCCCCCGGGATACGCCGCTCGGCACGCTCGCTGAACGCTGACACGAATGGAGTAGAGGCTCCTTCCTTGATACAGGTTCCGATTGCGAAGCTAGTTCAATGTAGACTGTGGGCTCGTGCCCGTAGAACTGTTAAAAAGGTGACCTGATGAGTTCTGATGACATCATAGAAGCGGCTTTGCATTTTGTGAAAAATGACGATTACTGCACAAACACGTGAATTCCACGGAAAACATGCGTATAAGCAGCTTGAGAAGTATATCTTGACCTCACTGGAGTGATTGCGCATCGATCGGGAAAATTTGGGGTCTCTTCGAAGTTTCCTTCACTTATCATCATCGAAAGTTTACCTTGAAATGAGTGTGATGATGACATCATAGTGGAGCGGCTCTACATTTCGTGAAAAATAACGATCACTGGAGAAACGCGTAAATTTCACGGAAAACATGCGGTTAAGCAGTTAGAAAAGTATATCTCGACCTCACTGGAGTGATTGCGCATCGATCGGGAAAAGGGGTCTGTTCGGAGGTGGAGAGCGCTAAAATGTGGTCCGGTGTCAGGCAGACATAGCGCTTTTATTATATAGGGGCATAGGTGGATAGGGGGATAGATGAGACCCTTTGAAGGGAGCTCCTGGCGACAGAAGCGGCACGACGAAGTTACTTTCAAGCTCAGCGAGTGCGCGTGTCAACAGATTTAGGCTGTCATCGGGAGGATCTCTCCATGGGGCGACTCATCAAGAGTCGACTTCGGCTCCGGCTCCGAAGGTCGCCGTGGTCAGAAAAGCCCGGTCGCGATCGAGTCCGGTACAGTGAGATCTGAATTCCATCATGATGACGAAATCATGCGATATTCTTACTTCACTGCTGCACGGGAACGCGAAACTCAGCAATTCCGGCGTGTCTTCCTCAAAAACGTGTACCGCCATGCTTGTAACATGGATGAGAGGCTCCGCTTTCTGCGACATTCGAAGATTGTCAAGGCCTCCATTGCACAACACTCGGCTGATCTTCCCCCGATGGGGACACAAATGTAATTTCAAGAAGCTAAACTCAGCTCAAACTTATCATAACTTATGATTACTTATCACATCGACGTCCCCTTCACGTCAAAAGAAGTAAGGCTCAAACTTAACCGCGTTCCCTGGATGATGACGACCACGCGCTATATGTCGAACTGAAGACCAACAACATTCACCAATCGTCGTATCTTAGCGGATTCGTCGAGTAAGCCGCAGTGAGGGTCCGAAAAGACTTCCTACTCCGGCAGCCCAAGGACTTAAAGGGTAGATAGGTGTCGCTTTCGATTCTAGATTCGTTAAGCGGAAAAACTTCCGAAACTCGATAGCTAGCGCAGTTTTCGATGATTATGCCGACGGGATTTGGAAGAGGTATCGATGCCTTCGAACCACGGAAACCATCTCTCGTAGAATGATTGAATATCGCAGCCCCGTCGGGCAATCAGTGGGCTCTAACCGAGCTTTCATGAAAACTCACCCAATTCCATCCTTCAGAGGGCCGATAGAGGGATAGGTCTATTTGCCATGATTTGACACCTCGGCAAGCCGACCGCTTGCCGGAAAAATCGTCATTAAACGTTTTCACGTGAATCTACGGTAATGTCATTGACATTACCTAGCTTCTTGCTTTTTCATGGACTCGGTGCTCAGCTCTCGAGGCTTTCTCGGAGTCCTCCAAGATCCTCAGCATGAGACAGCTCCGAGATTTCCATGGCCGCTCCTCGCCTTCCTCTCGAGGCTCTATTCGACTTCAAAAGTACAATTCTCATTTTGATGTGGGGTGAACTTCCATGAGGGAAAGTCCCCCGGTGACGGTCCGCCCGGCTCTTCAGACCGGGTTCCCGAACTGGAGAAGATACTCTGGAGCTCTCCACCAGATGGAGGAACCTGATGCGGTGCCCTCCCTATCCGACCGAATGTTCGAAAATTACGTCAAGCTCTGGCCTGAATTAAGTAATCCGGGGCGTGGAAGGGAGAATCTTACATCACAGCTTCGGGATTCTTACATTGAACTCAAATCGAGTTTCCTCCCGGCTGGAGTTTCAAAATTACCAATACTTCAAGTTTCAATCAGCTCCAATCCTTCGGTCGCGGTCGCCTGGGGTACTCACTTTCTTTTTTGATAACGTACTCTGAGCTCCCGGAAGCTTCTATGCAGGGACGGCGAGCGAGGCAGGAGCGGAATAAGATAGGGGGTCCGAACGTTCGAAAGATCAACGGAGAATGGATTCGAAATATCAGCTCTAGATCACGATCCGTTGAGAGGGCTGAATCACGCAGCAACTATCTCGACATCCGGGGAGAAGGACCCTTCATTGTGCGTCGCGTTGGAAGCGAGATGTTCCATTCGATAAAAGCGGGCTGGGAGCTCTTCCTGCTCCGATAGGACTTCCCCTGAACAGTGACTCGACCTCTCTTGGTGAGCGAAGCTCCATGACGGTGCTACCGGACTAGGGATTCGTACCAATAGGACGCTCGCACCCTTCTGGATCATCCGCAAAATCCTTCATCGAAGCTCTGTGCATTTGACCTCACGTGATGAACTGGTAAAAAATTGCATACAGCACATCGATCGATCGCGTGCTCGCGTCTGAAAAATTATCTACAGTTGAACTCGTGTATACGAGAAACTTCGGGAAGTCGAGACAAGTCTTTCCTGTCGGGCTCTCTCTCATACCCGAGGAGTGATAGTCCGAGCTGTGTAGAACGATTCCTCCGGTCACCTGGGTTTCAGGATCAGCTCCTGAATTAGCTCTGCATATCCACTAGACGTACGGAGAAGATCAGCTCGGTCGGTAGACCACATCCGGTCGCACTGCCTGAATCCTGTCCGTATTTATCCATGAGCTTTGAAGACAGGCTTCCTATCCTCCAACATTAACTTCATCAATCCCTTTCACAGCCGTCATCGGGCTCAATGCAGCCCTGGATGGCTGTTTCAGTTCCTTAGAGGGAGCGATCCTGATCGACGAATTTCCCCGTTTTGCAGCGTCGAGAGAAAGTTAATGTAGAAGCAATGTCTGCCGGTCGGACTTCACTTGTACATACCACCTAGCGTTTCGGGACGGGTCGAAGTGTTTCAACTCTCCAGAATCTATCTGGGCCCGGCAATATCCTTCCATGGTCTTTTGGCGCGCATCAATGACTCTGAGAAGGATTTATGAATATGACTTAGTATAAAAGCGTATGCCTCTGGCAGAGAAGCTCAATCCGCAACGCTCTGGAAGAGTAGCGCCGATTTTCTACATTATCTCTGTATTCCGTCTTAATCGCGGGTACTTGATGGCTGTCTTCTCTGAGGGGGCAAGTCTTTCTCGAACAGGATCGTCCTCACTCCCGACATGCCCTCCGTCGAGGGTCTCCCTCATGAAGTCTCCGATTCGAAGCACGGGCTAAGACGGCTTCGTATAAATAAATCGAACTCATTCGCAGTCCGAGGCGGAATTGCTCGTGTGCGCTCGTACCCTAAAGAGCTCTGAATATCGCTGAGGCCTTTGTCGTTCCACTCATTCTACTGACACAGCTCCACATGACCTGCCTCATATGCCTATCCTTCGCAACAAGCCAGTTTAACGCGCCGACGGCTGATCAGGTGGGTAGCGAGCACGATCAGGAGCACCTCTAGACAAGTTTCCGTCATTGCTGGCTCCTAGAGCTGAAGAACACCGGGAGCGAGAGGAAGTCGAGAGAAGAATAACCGACAGTCTTTTCAACATTTACCTTTCCGCTTGCGTCTCGGAGCTTCCTCCCGCTGAGCGCGATTTTGCCGCTCGATCGAACGCCGGAGTCAAATATAGAGTTCTTAGTGAAGCGGAGAAATTGTGCCAGCCAATGTTGGTTTGTTCCACGAGAAAACGCATAGAGAGTCGAGAGCTCCGAGTGGGTCGTTTCGCCGCGGACTCGCAGACATCGCCAGCGATGTTGTCGCGTTCCTCTGTTTGCGGGATAGTATGGCTGTAAATAGATTCACTTGTGCGGTACGATCCTGCTGTTTGCAGAGGCTCGAGTTCAGAACAGCTGTCGCGAGTATCCTCCCCACAAGTATCCACGAACTTCGGGATTCGAAAACATTGATTCTTTTCATTTTCCCTCATCGTTCCAGCGCGGATGGGCACGAGAAGCGAAATAGTCTGGTGCTCTAATTTACGAGAACATCGAATTTTGAAGAAGGGGAGCGGAGCGCTCAGGGGTTCAATGCGATTCCGGATTATCCGAGAGGAGACGCGACCAGAAGAACTCGGAGAATGGGAGATTCCGTAGCTAGATCTGGTTAGTTCGAGGAGATAGCATGTCCAGGATATTGGCTTGATCGAGGAAACGGATGCGCCGCATGGCTCCCGCGAGGGATTCCAAGCCAAGAAGAGGACTTTGTGCGTAGTTCCGATATTTATTCCAAGCTACCTCAGGGCAATTGATATATTCGAAGGATATGTAAATATATAATGACTAGATGGATCTCAAGTGCGGGATTCGACTTGTCTCAGGTACGCTGCAGCAAATCGCCTCTATTTATAGACTCGACTAGAGCTCATATCACAGATCTCTGATTTCACATAATTACAAAAATATAAGCTATCATGAAAGCATTCAGCGAACCTTCGCGATTCGTATTAGCGTGCTCGATACGGTGGTCGATACTTCTCTCGATCACTTCCCCATGAGTGTCCCCATGGGAGTGGGGAGAGGACGGATCAAGCTCGAGCTTCTGTCCTCGAGTTCGCTTCTGAGTACGGATTGACCCTCTCACGGCGAGGTCTTCATTCAATCTGGATGAATAGGCTTCCACCCTTGACAAAGTTCCCCTGGAGTTCCCTAGTAGGCGACTTCACTTCCCCACGGTCTGTACGGTTTCACGTCGGACGATACCGAACAGGGCGGCATAAAATACGATGAGTGCATGTGCGAATTCATCTGCGGCGGCGGAGACGACGTGAGAAAACGTGTCTGAGTAGTCGTTCCGTACGGCGAGTAGCCGCCCATTGGATCGTTTTGCACGCAGGTCGGAGGATGAGGGGGAAGACTTGGCGACTCCGGGGGATTCCAAGAGTTCGGACTGGACGGAGATTTCATCGCAGACGGGACCACGGCCGGCAACGGTGCCGTCTCTCGTTGGTTGGAGTAGCATTGCAGGTGAGAAAGCAGTCTTAGACGCAGAGGGTCCTGGAGGTCCATCCCCTCGACGGCTACCAGGTAGCGTGCCACTTCGGCGGCGCACTCCCTGAAGCCCACTCTGTGATATTCCATAGCGAACTTCTGAGGATCGTTGGCGAGAGCTCCGAGACCTTTAGCTTCTAAGCCACGAAGGTGTTCCACGGTCATCTGGAGTATCTCAGCTTTCTCCAGCTTGGCCGACGCCTGCTTCTCAAAAGCGGCCGGCACTAGGCGTCGGAGTTCGTTGAGACAATTGTTGATTCTGTCACGCCGGCGTTTTTCGATTGCCTGCAAAGCATAGTCATATACTGAGCAACAACCATCAGCGACCTTGCGCGCACATGCCGTCACTGGCACTACTCCCCCACAGACTTGAAGTTTCACATGAATCCCGAACGGCAGGTCGAACCGATTCAGGCAATCCTATAGGTATTTCTGGGCTCCTGGACCCGGGGCTCAAACCTGACATTGCAGTCCAGTGGCACTCGAACAAATGATGGGTCACGTTGTCTACTCACCCCTCGTTTACGTTTCTTGGGTCCTTCTTTAGGTGGCGTAGGTGGGGTAGGCGGAAGGATCGTCGTCGTTGGCGGTGCGGGAACCATCATCCCCATACCAGGATGCACCATGCCCATAGGCTGTTGTGGCGCCCCAGGGGCATAATAGGGACTTGAGGAAAACATGTTTGCTACGACTACAACTATTTCTATAAGGTGGCTGCCTACTCGCAGGATGACCGCCACGTGCAAACTCCAGAGCAAGAGTGGCACGTGCTCCTGACTCGTGATCCTAGTCTAGCACACTTCGTGAAGTGCATTGGAGAGGAGGAAAATGGGAGAGGGTTCTCTCCGATGGGGGACATCGAGGATTCGGACTGGCGATATCTGTGGGAAATTTAAAGCACTGTGTCACGACTCTCGGAGAGGTGACGCGAGTGGGCCGCGGAGGATTCGTTGGAACGCTCTCAGTTACTTGGCAAGAAGCTTTTGGGATCGAGCCTTCCCAGAAGAAGGGATATTGGTCAGGAGCTCGCACTCTCTCGTTCACCGTCGTCCCGGTATTCGGCAGGAATCGAGGAGTTTCGTACCTCAATCGCTGCACCCTCTCCGGATCACCGAGTACCATTCTAGTTGTCGGTGGGTGGGGGAGTGGGGAGGAGAATTGTCCCGTTGGGGACAGCGGCAACCGTGAAGGTTTGTCCCTTGGTTCACACGCTCGGCAAGGAGACGAAAGGACGACAGAGCAGAGTGTGGGAATCTATGTAGAGGACCTGGAATGGGGGTGGTCGAAGAAAGGAAGAAATTAGCCCACCGACCCAAAAGAGGGTGTTCGTGGGAATGTTCTGAGACCAGGAAGACCCACTAATGGTTCGGAGTCGCCAAGTTATTCGCAGTGGATAGGTCGATTACCAGTCGCAGATTCCCATCTCGGCTCTTGCACGGAGTCCACGTGAAATCCATGCCATGGGAACATCACCAGACGTAATGTCGAGTTTAGCCGTGACACAGGTCTCGGGCCCGAGTTCTCCCAGGATCGGTTGAACGGTGAACGGTATCAGGGATGCGAAATGGAAGGAATGGGACGCTCGCGGCATGGGATCTCGCGGCGTCGTTGCTCTTGCGGGGACCGTTCACGTACCACCTCCCGAGCCGAGTCGTGCTTACTGAGCGGAAGAACATGAAAGCGCAACCCAATTAGAGGAAATTTCGAGTTCCTCGTCGCTCCACCCTTCTTGAAACCTGCTAATCTGATTTGGTAGTGTATGTAAATTCGATAGTATATCTCTATATGAGCTTTCTCTCTTCTCTAGGGACCGACTAGCGGGGCTCCCTTGCTCCCCCGGTCGCTTGCTGACTGGCTCGCTCGCTCGCGCGCTCGCTCAGCCACCCAGTGACTGACTGGCAGTCAACAGCGTGAGAAAGCCCTGATCGTCGAGTGCGCTAAGACATCCAATCCTGCAAGAGAACTGCTCCATGGTTCCATCGACCGCGCTGCAGCGGGCTGCTCAGTTCGCTTGCCATACATTCATGCACGCATATATCGTAAGCGAGTCGAGCTCGCTGGCTTGATGTCTGTCTGCCCAGCGGCTCACCAGCTTGGCTTCCTGCAGCAAGTAAGGTTAAGAGCGGGAGCGTGCCGAACGTGTGGCCGCTGATAATAGAGACGTGTGCATTCGGGTCACAGGCCGTGCACCAACGTGTCGAGCGTGTGTCAACAGGTTAGAACAGATTCCACCGGAACAGGTGCGACAATCGAATTACTCTCGAAGATCTTTGAGAGTATTCAACTCCTTGGATCATTCCGGATAATTGGGTTTCAACATCCCCCACGCAATTTCCGATCTTCATGAAGTTCGATTTAAGCAATCACTCGGGAGAGGAGCTTGGCATCCAATTTCAATCCCTCGCTGATCCTACCGCGATGCCATCGAAGGAACAGCAGATGTGCAGGACGGAATGTCGCCGGATGGATAGATTTATTTTCTTCACTCCGACACGTACACGGGTGGACGCGATTATCCGAAGCTGTTCGGGTGCGAGTGACTAATTTGTCGGGATCTGAACTCATGTACGGCCCGAGGACAACTTGATACTCCTGAGTGGGTCAGGAAGTTCGCAGCCGCGTGCTTAGTTAATATTGCGTAAGCCTCTCCACTAATACAGGACAAGAGCATCATTCCATGAGGTTTTCCGCATTTAGACAATCGGTCCCGTCGAGCTCAGATCCCCCATGCATTGAGAAAGCCTGAAGAGACGCGTCTCCAACGAAGCAGCGGAGCGTTGGGTTCCGAACATGTTGAAAGCAGCGAGATTTTCATTCGCTCCGCGGCTCGTGCTGGACTCGTGTACTACCGCACGCGTCAAGGGGGGTCCCCAGGCGGCTGACACTGAGGATTCAGGTGCAATCCAAATACATGAAAACCAATGCGATCAGCGGTTCCGTGTGCATCAGGCACGAATACGCGGCGAAGCAAAGACTGCGTGATAGTTGGACCTAGGAGGATTCCGCGGATTCTCCGCCGCGTTCCTCCATGGAAGAGGTTCGCCTCATGAGCATTGAGACGAGCGAGATACTTCGAAGATTCGCCTTCGAAACACCGCAGTTGAAGAGCCTGGATGAGGGGAGCTCGGGTGGCGACCAGCGGCCCAAAAGAAATTCCGGGCCGGGAAGATTTTGATGTGTTTTACGTGGGATGCGGATACCTGCATACCGTAAATATTCCAGTACGAGCCCCTCTCCAATAGTAGCCCGTCTCCAATAGAGGCCCCTCGGCGGGACTCCCGAGTCGAATAGAAGCCCGCCTCCAATAGAAGCCCGTCAGGAATCGAATCAAACTCCTGAGAAACTCTGTTCCAGAACATACCTTGAGCTCTAGAAGTCCCGAGAAATCCAGCTTTCTGAAGTCTCGTCTTCTCCATTGCACAACCGTGCGTGGAATCATGAGGAGCTCCCCTGTAAGAGAAGCCCCTCTCAAATCTAAGATCGCCTGCGGAGGGGTTTGAAATGAAGAAGCCCGGGCTTGTATTGGAATATTTACGGTATGAATATATCGAATATGTGAAATGATCATATGTATATGTTTAGAATGAATGAATAGAATATGCCCAGAATGAATATCCCCCTACTGACAAAGCGCACCAGTCCGTGATCGCAAAAGTCTTCAGAAACTCTTGAAATTCTCCTCAGAGCATTGGTAGTCGACGTGGAGTCAGGGCAGTCTGCTCAGGTTGAGCATCTCATCCCGCATTCGCCGAAATAACCCGCCCGCGGGGATCTACCTCGCCTTTCGCGCTGCCTTCCAGTTGTATAACTTGCGATCGCCAAACGTTCCCGCGGTCAAGGAGTACGCGCTCTTGACAACGAAATCCCATCCATAAATTCCCGATTCCGATGAATCCGAGTGTCTGAAATACGATTGGTCCGAGTTTCCGAAAATGTCGGCGGAACCTGAGATTTGACTCCTCTCTACTGTCGAATCTGTCCACTAATTGAGCGCTATCGGAACCAGGTCCGATCCGGCGGTGGCGAGAATATTCCTCTATACTCCCTAGGACAAATTCGTCTATATTTCCGGTCTGAGCCTAGATAAGGAGCGCGACCGTAGGCCGGGCTCCCCAGGCTGGTATGGAATATGCTGAGAATGAATAGATGGAATATGCGTGGTGTAGATAGATGGAATATGCTTGGAGTGCACAGATGGGATACGTATGTTAAGAATGAATTTAAGGAATCGAGGTGAGAAAATGAAAAGTAGGAGCTCTCATCGTATTGAGATGATTCACACTTGCGGTGGCTAAGCTGTGCCCAAACCGGACGGCCATTCTCGCGCACCACCAAGCCGAAGGCTTGCGGCCTTTTGCTGACAGACGAATGTGGCGTACCATAATCTCCGCTTGAGCGCCCCTGATTCATGGATACAAGATCGTCCCAGTGATTTGTAGGGATATTGCTGAGTAGTCTGCTGTCGCTGGAATTTTGGCTCAGATTCAGCTCTGCGGATATTTCCTTTTGTCTCGGATCGCCTCCCTTGCTTCGAGCTCTCTGATCGGGGGCGATGTTTATTCGCCGAACTGCAGGCCGGTCGCTCTTCCCAGCAACGAAGCATCTACGGGCTCATTAGAGGATTTTGTTAACTTAGCGAAGACCTCATATGTCGGACAATTAATGGCTGATAAACGGCAACCTTCCTGGGATGAATGCGTCTTCGCGTCGAAGTTTCAGTCTCCCTGCATGGTGCGAGGGTTCTGCTTCCCCAGAAGGCAGTGGAAAGGCAGAGAGGTTCGGCTTTTCCGAGCTCGGTACATGTACGTATGACGGAGACTTGGAGCGGTACCGCCGAGTTTCGGAACGTTCCTCGGGGATCTCGAGTCGGAGATACCGATTTCGAACAGTGCTCCTAACCCATTGGCGGACGTTCCACACTGGAACGCATAGAGATGTGGTGACGCTCCTACATGAAGAGACTGGACATGGGGAGCAGTTTATTCGCAGCAGATTCATTCGGTTGCGTCTATGGGTCATATGAGGACTCCACCAGAATGGAATGTCGAGTCAACTCGGATGGGTCGCTCTGGGCTTCAAGTGCTTTGCTCCTCTGCAGCACTCTTACGATATCAGGAATCTCAGACCAATAATATTTCCGCGTACCGCCGCCCTCCAGCGGAGGTCAATACTCTCCGACGGCAAAGTTCCACCTGGGGAGCCCGAGCTGCGAGTATTACTGCGAGCTGTACCATATGACACAATCTGCTCAAGTTTGTAGATTGAAGTTTGACGCATGGATGAGCTTCCTCCACGCCGAAAACGGGACAATTTCATTCTGGGCGCATTCTCTGAGTTCCGTTTTGGTGACGAACCGATAGGGGCAGCTGGGACAATACGGAGTGGTCATACGCAGTGCGACACAATTTCGTCCACTCTGCAGAGACCGTATATCGACCGGGGGAAGTGTGGGAGCCGATATCGGCGGGAGCAGACTGCAGATTCTCTTTCGAGCGGCACTCCACTCTTCTATATCACACAGCGCTAGTCTGAGACCGAAATTTGTCGCTGGACCTTCTGGACCCCTTGCAAGTACCCTGCTGGTCTAGCCTGCTTCCAGCGGAACGGCAGCTCAGGAGATTGCAGCTCATCATTCGGAGCAGCACTACTCCCCTTCTTCCACTCTGATGATCGTTCCGGGAACCGCAGCTCGTTGCTGCTGAAGAGCAGCTCCATCAAGGAAATGGACAGCAGCATGTGAGCCTAAGTCGCTACGGTGATAATCACAGGTCAGAGTTCGCTGACCAAAGGGAAGCACGCGCAAAAGGATTGTGAGAGATTTCAGGACGCGCGGCGAGATTTCGCAAATTCCAAGCATAATTACTTTGGTACGGCCTGGGACTTGTCATATCGAATCGCTCATACTAGAGGACACAGATCTCTGGCGACAATATGCTCCAGGGCATCAGACGACAACCGGCGGGCTAGAGCATGAGTCGGCTGAGGCTGGGTGTTTTTGAGAGCTGCACATGTCGAATCATCGGGAATCGGCGGAATACGACTGAATACGGAAACAATTCACACTGTAGCTGGTCAAGACTGCAGCGAGAGTAAGTATTCGGCACTTGAATCACCAATCAAAGCGTGAGGGATCTCATTTATTCTTCATCCCGATCCGTCTCGTGAGCCTCCGGGCAGTTAATAATTCGAACATCTACAGGTCGTTCTTGATATCCTTGAATAGTTTCCCTCGATTCCAGTTCTCATAGAAAGCGGTCATTCCGGTGTCAATGATTCGCTCGAAAGCGTAGGCGCCGACGGCGCAGGTGACCACGAACGTCGACGTTTTCTTGAACAGCATCTGGTAGAGCGCCATCCTGACTGAAATGGAACGACAATCCTTCAGAACATCAGAGGAGCGACACGGCAGAGTCCTCACCCGAGTGTGCGCTCCTTGAATAGGAATACGAGCTACTCATACGACGAATGAATTCTGAGGGGAGGGCGGATCTTAGCAGAGCGCTCCGGAACAAGTGGAAGAAGAGAGTCAGAGCGACAGGAAATGAGAGATCCTCATTTCTAGAGATGCATTTGGGCGCAAGTGTTCCTCGAAGTCTCTCGCGCGATCGCAGAGTTCGGTCCTCCGAATCTCTGGGCCCCTATCGCAACCCGGAGGTTCAGTGAGAAGTTGAAGTGCTATATTACCTTTGTGGGACTCTTCCCTAGCACAGGCAGTACAGAGCAACGTATGACCTCTGCTTTTCAAAGTGTTGCAGCACGAATAGCAGCCGCAGGACAGGGCCGTCTGTCCCTGGACGGAGTAAACAAACATACGCCGATTCAGCGGTGCCGGAATCGTGCAACGAGCCACAAAAGCACCACAGCGCGACGGTTTCCCAGTCTGGCAAATCTACCTCGAGTGGGCACCACACTCCCCTTGAGCGCGTATAATCGAATCGTCGTGTTTTCCCGCGCCTGTTCCTTCTTCGATTAAGTATGTGTTCATCTCCGGGGAATCCGATCCGATGGGTCCTCGGTGAATTAAAAACGTTCCGAGCGAACTTCCTTTATTGAAGCCTATTCTGTAGTACCTAGAACTAGAGGCCGGTGCGTGGTGTCAGTTTTAAACGGGTGAGTTGAGAGGTTTACCGAGCTTTCAACTCGACCGGGGGTCTCTGTGCCTCAACTCAGGGCCAGGGGCCGGTCTCCCGGCTCCCATGTCTTTCCGGCTCACAGTGAGGAGCATTCTCTCAAGTCGCGAGGAGTCTCTCGTTGCCCTTCGCCGTCTGCGTCTTCCGACATTGGCTGTCAGCAGCCAGGAGAAGATATTCTTCGCAGCGCGAAGTCTTGGATTCAGAGGACTGGAATCCCCTGGCAAACCTCAGTCCCATAGAGCGGAGACAACAGGAGCCGACGTCCCGAGTTCAGGTAGATTCGCAGAGATTCTCAACGTAATTTGCAGCTTTCGAAATTTCCATCAAACGCTGATTGAAGTCTTCAAAGGAGCAGTCGTCGGTTACCGCATCCTCTATCAGAGAATGCGCAGGCCACCTGAAAATGAAGTTGTCCAGAGCCTAGCTGAGTGCCGGAAGTCATTTTAGAAACCTCATCACGGATATACTTGTTCGCTTACAATGATCTCAGTGCCTCGATTGTCGATCTACGCTCCTTGATTTTGTATAGAATCCGATTCCTCGAATAACTCTTGTTGCTTAGCAATATAGTGTCCATTTCGCGGAGAAAATCTGGAAATCGTAACATGGAAATCCGACATTGGCTTCGACTCATGCTACATGCGTTTACAGGGAGGATTCCTCTCCGAGTTGATTTTTGGGATAAAGCCGGGATATGGTCGCACCTTCATAGAGTATGCTCAAAGCGAAAGCTCGAATGAAGTCATCGGTGGGGAATGTCGTCTGCGATCGGTCGAGGAATCTGGAATTCGGCACAAGAACACGGGTGTTCATTCGGAGCGACAAGTCCGTGCGCCGTTTGAGATACGAGTCTCAATAATTGAGCTCTTCTGGCGAAAAGCCCCGAGCGACGAGCGAAGAGAGGCTGAATCGATTAGTAGATACCCGACGCGTCGTCTGAGAAGTCATTCCGTCTATGAGTGGAGTGCTGTGGTTATACTTCAAGTCCGACTCAATGGAAAGGCGCGGCATTCGAGTACAATATCAGGCTTCGTGATGTTGTTCAAAGCACCTTGTTATACTCCGTTGAACGAAAGCCCGGGAATCCCAGTGCGGCCAATTGATCTCGATTATTGAACAATAATCTCCTTTTGCTAGTTGAGTTTCTGTAAATCGAGAGCTTCACTCAGCCTCCTACAATTCTCCCACAAGAATGTCGAAGCTGACATATTCAGCATGCAGAGCAAAACATGGGGGGGGGGCAGGGGGAAGTCTCGAATCTCACCCAAGCAGCCGTCGAATGGTTTCAAGTAGCGCTGCAGTTGACGAACTACACACGCTCGATTGTAAGGCGAGGCCAAAACGTATCTCCCGTCGGCATTGTTCACATGTTGCCCGGTATTGACTTGAGCGAAGCTAGGAACGAATCCGGAATATTATTCGCTGTAGGACAGGAGAGGAACGACTTGGATCTTCGATGGTCACAGGAACTAACTCACTATTCTTTGAGGAAATCGTCCACTTGATCTACGCGAGTCTCGCTCTGCAATATTTTGCTGATTGCATCTTCCAAGTACACATCGAGGAAATGATCAGCTGCGGGACGGGCATTATACTCATGTCATTTTATTGTTCTGCGCGTAGTGCTATTTCCATCTCAGTGACATGAGCAAGTCATGGAGTATTTCACGATTCGATGCATAGGACTCCGCGAGCTCAATGCAACACGGTTCCCGCATTGCTTACCGATGTACTGTTTTAGCTCACACATGTCTCCAGTCAGCTGTTCCTCAGAGATCCGTACTGTTCCTCCCGGTCCTTTCGCTCCGAGAGAGCTCGACTCCGGCACGATCACCTGACCCATATTTCGGGGCTCAACGGCGCGGCAGCTTCGACGGGATGGGCGGCTATGAATGACAAGCAGAGCCAGAACATACCGTAACTCGATTTGAGTGTATCGATCCCATTTGGAGCGATTTTGCGCGTCTGCGAATGGACCGCTGTTGGCCCGCTTGTGAATTCGAATGGGTAGAAACGAGTCCTTGATCGTTCTTTCTCCGATACTCTGCTCGAATGGGACTGTTTTCCCCTCTCGAGCTGGCTTCCCTCAGTAAAACGCACGATTTATTTAGGCAGTGCTCAAGCGTCCAATATCGCCGCTCCCCGGGGAAATATCCGGCTAAGGAAAATTATCCTGAATCACACCCTGAGGTCAATTTCCGTCGTATCATTCCGATTTGTTCTCATCTCCGCAAGGAAAACCCACGCATAAGAGTGGTTCTCCCATTCATAACGATAATAATGAACGATAACAATAGTCTTCATCAGATATTTCTCGAATATAATAGTCCTCATCCTCCGACAACATCACAATTTATTTCGATTCTATGACTTCGGCGTTCCGGTATACGACTCCTGATTCTTGTCGTAGAGGAGTTGAGCAACTCTCTTCGGGGTCAAAACGTAGCTGCCGTAAAACCGCGGCCAAGAGGATCGACACCGTAGATAACCTGAGAAGGAGTTCCATCCTGGGTTGCAAGCCTTGAGATACAATCAGCTGAACCGCCAAGTGATTGCACAAACCCCGAAATTCGTATTCGGCAATTTTAGTTTGAAAACAAATCCCCCGGAGTAGCACATCATGCCTGATTCACGCGGTCAGCTTACCTGTAGAATCTCTCCAGCACCTGGCCGTGTTGCGTTTCCTCCGATACCTGCGGTCACGGCCTCTCCGCCTGGTTTGATTCCAAGATTCGTCGTCTTCGTCCCAGTACCGATATCGGCGTCTCCGTCGATAGTATGGATAATAGTAGCCGTTTACAGCTCGGTAGTACGATGGGTAATAATAATATCCACCAAAAAGAGAATCCAAAATACCACAGAAAAGGCAGTGGGCGACATCGGTGCACAAAAAAATCACCACGAAGCTCAGAGCGACTTTCGAGAGCTTCATTGTGTCCGAGGCTCCCCTATCCGGAGTGGGGAAAGGGCGTGACCTAAAACTTCGATTCGGGACCTATGGGATGGGAAGGTTTCTTGGTGGATTCACACTCTACATGGCAGTGATTGACGAGGGAAAACGGGAGGCTTCTCTTATAGCTATGCGGTAATTCTTTATATAAACATGGCTGAACACACAGCGAAAACCATGCGAAAAAATTTCCGCAAGTCCCTTATTAGAGGTCAGCCACCCCAAGGCCGTGCGATAGAGACTCGAGTCGTCCAAAGCCCGAAAAAAAAAAGAAAAGAACACGTCTTAGGGAAAGTCGCCATGAAGGATCCTGGGAGAACTCTTCGCGGGGAGAATACCCTACCATGGTTTCGAAATCCCGGACTTCTCTTGCGTCGAATACGAGCCGTTCGTAGCTTCGAAGTATGGAAAACGCATCTATTTCACCTTGGTGCCGAATTCTTCCAGCCTCGATCGTGCCCGATGTCGGACCTGATCTTCACTGAAGCAGAGCTCAAGTTCCGGAAACCGCAAGAAGATGCCAAGAGGAAAATCTTCAGAGATGCCGAAGAAGTAATCTCGACGATGAAAGCACGCGGGGTGCCTGAGCCCAACTTCATAAGGACTGCCTTCCGGCTCGATGATCTACTTGGTGGAGGGATCTCGACTGGGCGAGGTGTCATTGAAGTCACTGGCGAAGCGTCTTCCGGGAAAACTCAGTTACTGCTCGACATTGCCCTCAGTTGTCCCCGAAAAGCAATCTATATCAATACGGAGGGACGTTTCCCAGGTGAGCGAAGGAGCGAATCACGACTCAGCTATCAAACTCTCGAGGGATGTCTGATCGTGGGACTGAGGGATATCCTGTGAAAGTAGATGATATTCATATATCACGATAACCGATATTCTTCCAGGGGAGCGTATTGCTCAAATGATACGGCTCCGAGAAAGCTGGAGGAACGCTTCGCTCGACAACGTTTTGGTGTCCCAGATTTCCGAATTGGACACCTTAGTTCTAACCATCGAGCATTCGCTACCGGAAATCTTGAAGAATAAGGATGTCAGCGTGGTCCTCATAGATTCGATAACGTGGCCTTTCCGCGTCGAAGATGGGAGCCGCGAGCGTACTCAAACAATTCAGAACGTTGTTCGGAAACTACACGCGCTCTCGAAGAAGTACAATGTGGCAGTGGTATGCGCCAATCACGTCGCCGATGATCTCCAGAGTCGTACCACGAAACCTTGCCTCGGACAGTCGTGGTCAAAAGGTATGCGCGGAGTGTCCATCGGCATTCTGTAGACTCGTATGTGATATCTCTCTCTGTGGATTCGTCACGATGAAGAAACAGACAATGAATAAGGATCGGTTTCAGGCATCTCGGGCCGGCTCTTCCTGCGAGTTGAAAACCGAGACGAGGGTTTGCGATCCCTAAGCGTGGACTGGTGTGAAGATTACCTGGATTGGACCGTCGGAGCGAAACGATACTTTCAGATCCGATCCGAGGGCCTAGTTGAAGTATAGTCCTTCCTCTTTGACACAGCTGTTACCAAGATGTTGTTGGGCCTGGGCCATCGATTGAGAATATGTAAATATTTCCCGCCCGTGAATCAAAAAAAGCGTTGGTTTCTGGTCCAATGTATCTACATGAGCGCTGCATCCGTATGGTATTCCCGCCCCGGTTCCCCGCTCAATCGAGCACTACGGTCAGGACTCTCGAAGCCTCTCTGATAAAATGCAGCATCGAGCTCATGCTCGATTGCACTCAATGCCGAGGCTTCGGGCCGCGTTCTCTGCCGAAATGAATCAGATCAACTTGTACGCAATGAAATACGGCCGGTATTTTCCTGACGTCGCTCTTCGCGACCCATTGGAACCTCTTCCGAGCAGAACCGTCCCCGGAAAATTATTCCCCGAGCTCAGTCCGACAATGCCAAATATTTCACGGATACAATATTCTCGATCAGGACTGCACTGATCGGGTTGGAAGTAACCTTTGATGATGTAAGAACTTGCGTGATTCCTGGGAGACATGGAGAAGCTCCAGCCGAGGGAATCGGGAGCTAATGAAGCGTTCGGAAAGGTGGAACCGAGCTTCAATTCAGAGCCCAAGCGTAAGAAATGTTTTTGATAACCGTGAACTATACGGCATTGAAGCTCAGACACGGCGCATCGCTGTCAGCGACGTCATTCTGCGAAGAAAAACTGTCGCCGTGCTCGGACTTCTCGAGGCCATCGGTGGTTAACTGAAAGGGTTCTCGGGTGCCGGAAGTGTCGAGTCTCCATATCGGATGAACGTTACAGAGCTCAAGGTTATTCCTCAGTTCAGAATCTTGAGGCATGACGAGACGCTGAAGCCCCATACGAGCTCCCGATGCTTCAGAATGATCTATCAGAATTCTTACGTCAAATGCGTTCACAGATTGGATATCCAGCATTATTGAAAATGATGACGGATTTTATTTCTGACGGACTGACTGACGGGGGCGTAGCAAGCGTGGACTCTCGAGCTCAGTCCTTTTGAAAAAGCGCGCCCGCGTGCGGACGACTATGACGTCATCAGCAGAAAAATATTTTGATTGAGACCCCGTGTTGTGGTTTTCGCTCCTCTTCGAGGAGCCGGTGAGCTCGTTCTTGGTTGATATCTTCCATATTGTTGCGTGCTGTTCGTTGGTGCAGAGCCCGAAATGAAGAGGAGTTCATCCGTCGCTAACGAGTGAACGGATGCAAATCACCGTCCCAATGAGGGAGAGCGGAACAAATAATTCGAACACGATGCCGCCGAACGACAATTCTGCGCCGGTGGAAAAACAGGCGAAAATCCACCTGAAAACTTTCCTGGCGCAAAGAGCCGATATGCTGGAGTTATCCCAGAGTGCAATCTACCTATTGAGCGCAGTACCGGCTGCCAGATCGGCGGTTCTTGAGTACATGGAGCAAGTTTTCGATTGTGCGGTCGACAGATCCCAGTCCGAACAGGACAACTCTCAGACGACACTCGTTATCCAACAACTCCACCAGACCCTATTTTCTCTGGTTAAGAACTCGCCCAGCATCTGGGCTCCGTTGGTATCACCATGGTCGTTGCAACTGTTGGGATTCCTGTCGTCGAAGTATTCAGACAGACGTTCGCCCAACTTGAGCGAAGTCATGCAAAGGTGGATGTCCTGTCCTCCGATGCGTTCTCTGATCGATCTCACCTCCCACTGTATGATGAACGCGGTGGACATGGACACAGATAAATGCATAAATGCTCTACTCGATACCACGATCAAGTATTCGCCGCACTTCGACTGGGTCGTTGCGCACATCGGTTCTTCGTTCCCTCACACTGTCATCACGCGAGTCCTGGCCGTGGGCCTGAAGCACTTCATGACGCACGAGAAGGGTCCTGACAACAACAACAAACTCGTGTCCGTCGTCGCTATTCTCGGTCATCTCGCTGGCCAACATTCCGCCGATATCAAGAAAGCCCTGACAGATATGATCGCCGTCAGCCTGAACGATCAACCCGATAAAGAACAGCTCGCCGTCATCCCCTACCTGATTGAGCTGTGCCTAATGTCCGAACTACTGCTGACTTCAATCGTAAGCGATTTACCCCACACACTGAACACGACGAATCTGAACATCCTCGTCAACCACGGACAGCTCTGGAAGGCCAACAAGATATCAGCCATGCATAATTCGGAGAAAGTTCTCGTCGAACTCCTGCTCAAGTGCGGTCGTAACGAACACGAAGCTCTGGCATTGCTCTCCCTGGCCCTTCGAATAAAACAGGGAAAAATCAATGGACTCCATCCCGCCGCCGAGGAGTACGCGTCTTCCTTCCTCCATTCTCTGCTCGAAGAATTGCAGAAACGCGTCTACGCAAAAGCGTCTGTGCCCTTGCTCATGTCGTTCGAGTTGCACGCGAAGGAGCTCCTAAATCAGCTGGATCTCAAGTGTCTTTGGACAATCAGCTTCATTTCTCTGGTCTGTCTTCACTGCTCTGAGAAAATGAGATTTCTCGTGGAGATGCTCACGACAAAAACGGATCCGTCCACTTTCATACAGATCATGTCACACATCGAAACAAGCCATCCCACGGTTCTCGTTGACACCCTCGACGCGCTGATCGTTGAGCTCCGGTCGGGAAGAATAGCGGATCCCATTCTCGTACTTCACAATCTCAGTAAGCTGGTGACGATCGAACCGAGGACGCAGCAAACCCTCTGGAAGTTTGCTGAAACCCTTTCGCTGCATTCGAGCGAGTGCAACCTCGAGTACACGGCGGAGATCGTGCGACTTCTCGGGGTGTGCGGCTTGCCCACGGAGGAGGTTCCGGAATCGGTTTTATATAAAATTATCTGCGGTGCAGCTGTCGTGTTTTTTGCAGCGGCCAGAATCCAGAACGACGTCGAACGGAAGGCTCTATGGATATCTTCGGCTCTGAAACTGCTCTCGACGACTTGTGGCAATGAGCTCGCGCAACAGATGTCGCTCCGGTTGCTCCTCGACGGTGTCATGGACCCTTCGACTTCGAAACTTTTCGGAGCTATGCCGCGAGAAGCGGATCGAGTGCCGAAACAGCTCAGGATGACATCGCTGCTAGAGGAGAACCGCAAGATCGTCGCGTCATTCAACTTCCATCAGAGCCACAGCTCGATCATGAGAGCCGGGGTCGTCGGAGACGGACTTCGCGCCGGGCGGTGCACGCAGACGAAGATTCTCGATTCTCACCTGATCAAAGAAAACCAAAAATGTTTCCTTAAAACCCTGAAGGTCTGCTGCGGCAAAGACAAATCGCGTGGAATGACAAGCATAGCAACCGTCATCTGCGATATAGTCAATCCTGACGTGATGTTCAACAAACCAGCCTGGCCCACCGAAGATGTTCTTAAAGCGACCCAGGAGAAAGATGTTGAAATCCGTGAAAGTTTCAAAGCTAATCCCATGCTCTGGAAAATCCTCAACATGGTGGCGATCGAAGACCCGATGGCGCTGAAGAGCGCTGCGGTATTGATCCGCTCGCTACTCGGTTGCCAAATGACGTTTTGGAAGAACTCCCAGGATTCGTACATGAGTCCCGAGCAGAAAGAAATCACTGTCAGAGTGGTGAAACTCATGGGTGTAGGGAAGCTACTCCCCAGCCCATTGGCTGATCTGCCGCTGATCGTGGATCACTTAAATTCATATCATATGTATTGTCTACTGAACGATATCTGGAACTATATGCGGGAATGCAGCGAGAACCTGAACGAAGAAGACGCTGTCCCGAGTCGATTTACGACAAATCTGCGCATCATCATGCTGAACAAAATCGATAGACTCGGTCCAGTGTATGCTAAAATGTTCAAAGTTGTCTAGAGAGCTTGTATTTTCCCGCGAACGAAACCTTTGGAGACTGTAAAAACTGTAAATAAATATCAAGACAAATTGTTCGTTCCCATGCGTGCTGCTTCACCACGAAGAGCGATCACCGTGATTCCATGTCCGCTTCCCATTCGATAACAATAATTCCTTTCCGACTAGGAGGCCGCTCAGCTCTCCGCTTGTTGTGGGCGTCGACTGCGTGTCTGAGCGAAAGCCGATCAAGGTCATGAAACCTAGCTGAGCTAGCAAGTGCATGAGGAATCTCCTCTACATCTTCATCTGCGCACATAATTTCAAAACAGCTGATATGGACAACGGAGTATCAGAGGGAGTTATTGAGACGCGATCACCGGATATGTAGTCGAACAAATGAGAATCGAGTTCCTGTCGAAACTGCAGCGGCTGGGGATCTCGGCGTCAATGCATAAGATTCGCGGTTGACAGGTGATTGGGAAACACCATGATGCGGAGGACTGAAAATAGCATAATGAATGGTTTCGAGAATCACTCCAAGTTCACGTTCTAGGGAGAGATCGTTTTTCAGCAGCGTTGATTCTCACATCCAACGACTGACTCCAACAGCCGTTCGAGGTGGAGCTTCGAACAACAAATGCGGAACGCAGATTTGCCTACGATCGTCCACCCGTGTGAGCGTTGACTCCACGTCAGATTTGGAATCGACGAATACTACCATACATATTTCGCGAGATTTATCTCGGCTATGAACATTCCTCGAACTAGAAGTGAGGAGAACCTTATATTCCCCCCTGAATTCCCGCCGGATTGACGGCGCGGTTCGACTTCCTAACATGATTCCTCCCCGAAGTCTCGGTGGCGCCAGTGAGACTCGAGTGTTTTTCAGTTTGTCAAGTCTATTTAGGTATTTTGCGACAGTGCCAAAAGATCCGAAAGGATATTCCACAAGCGGAGCGGTTAGAGGTCTATCCGGCCAGGATCGATGACGAGCGACTCGTATGTCGGGCTATTGAATCACGATGGCCGGACCACATTTGTGGGGCATGAGACGCGCCTGATAATCGCAGAATATCGCAACTACGCTCTCCGGACTGGCAAGGGTACGGAAGTGGAATATGACACCACTGGGACACCCAGGGTATCATCCCTCTCGGTGACTTCTTTTTCGGAGAGAGCTTTTTTCTGCGACAGAAGCTGTCTGGATGAGGATGAACGCTAAATAACTAGGCGTGTGATCGCTCGATGTGCAGGAGTACAGCCAAGGGGTGGACGAACATCGACAGCTCAGCTCCCCGACCGGCGCGCGTTCATGCTAGCGCGGCCCAGCGGTCTAAGGCGCTGGTTTAAGGCACCGGTCTCTTCGGTCGAATCCCACCGCTGCCGAACTTGTCCCCCCACTGGAGTTCTTTCTGCGATCGAGTCCTCGCCAGCCATTTGGAGGAGAGCCATGTGAACCAGAATTCCTTCTTCAGTCGACTGCTCATCTTTGCTTTCACAGGGTCTGCTCCCGAGGAGGCATATTTACATTGTGCCGGGCGAGTTGCTATAACATAGTCGCTGACAGCTGTCCAATCAAGGTCATGTCTTGATTTCTGGTCTCACCCGAAGGGCCGATGAGGCAGCGAATCGTGGTCACAGCGTTCCCTCCAGCCGGTCATTCAGGAACAACAGGACGGCTTCGCGGCAAAATTTCTGATCTCCAAAGGGTTCTGATCGTAAAAATCTCAAAAGAGGTCTCCATTCAGTTGAAAGGGTAATTTAAGAATGCTGTGGCTGAAACGGTCTTAGTGCACATCCGGCAACATTTCGCCCAGTCTGCGGTCGGAGAAGAAGGTCTCGTCGCTTCCTTAGCATTCGGTAGTATGTTACTTGAGAGAAATCTATACATTTTTTCCTGTTCATACAGCCTCTGAGAAACATCGCTCACGGATGGAATTATTCACCTAGCCAAAGCACAAAATGGACCAGGAAGTAAGCCGTCAAATTACATGATCAGCCGGACAGATCCGCTTGCTGATCAGCGATTACTCACCTCTTGACGGATGAGTACCCATTCGAGCTTGCCGACCTTGCACGATCAATGCCTCCTTGAGGATCTCGTAATACTCCATCCTGCTTCGTCAATCGGACTCAAAGTAATTATCGCGGATGGAAATCAGGGAGACTGGCCGAATAAGAAATGTTTCACAGGTGGCTCCAGGCTTTGAGCCCCTGGCTCAATAAGGCAGGATATCGTGTCGGGGATTTCCTTCCAGACGAAAATCAGCTGGAGCTCAATCTGGAGTTTCCTATTGATAGGACATCCTAATTTTTCGCGCACGCAACTCGTTTGCCGAGAGGTCAAGAATGGCTACTCCCTCGTTGTTTAGTGTTCGAGAAAAAAAAACCGTGCTACTAGAAGCGAGATGTCCGCTTGAATGGAAACCCTGGCCCAATCCCGGAGGCTCGTCAGGGGCTCGAGATATTGTTCTCAGTTTTGGATGACGTCAACTCTCTACCGTAGAAAATCTTATCTGAAAAGCGATGGGGTCTCAGTGAGCCTATAGAAGACTACCAAGAAATCTTATGAAAGCTTTTCGACAGTTCCTCATGTCTTCGACCAAAGAGCTCCTGAGGATCGAGTGAACAATGCGCAGATTTCTGCACGTCTGTTTCTGTTTGGCCATCGCCATCGGGCCGCTGGCTGTTTTCGGCAAATGCGTTGCGAACGTTGATGATGAGCAATGGACGATCGGATTTTCTGCCGCCGTGATCTCACTTGAAAATTGATCAACAATCGACAGATTAGGCGGCTTTCGCGAATATCCCGGAACAACAATCTTTCATCCGCGGGAACCTTCTTCTGGTTTCACCGTCAGCGATGCGAGACGTCGGCGTCATCCTGACACCTAAACGTGTAGTGCGTCCGGCAGCTCCAGCTCTTACTCAAGTCGCCGTACACCTTGGAGCAAGAACATGAGAAACAAAAAGGACATGAGGGCCAGTTGGGTTTCACCAGATTTCTCTGAAACAATTATTCAGCGAGAACACCCGATGAAGAACAGATCGCGTACAGCCCGGAAGAAGATTCCGAAGACCCCTCAAATGATCGAGGTGGAATTTCGTGGCGAAATCGATTTTCTCGCGAATTCGCACGGGGAGCACCGCGTTCAGATTGACTGTTGGCAGAGCAGGGCTTAGTCTCTCGAGTTAAGCGAGCTCGTCGAGCTCCGATATCAGTTCCCTTCCTTCATGGCTGAGCAGATACGTTCTCTCGCTCCTCAGCGATATCCTTGAGTCAAATCTCCTCGATTCCACTCTCGTCATTGGCTCCTGATTTCTGTGAATGGTTTTTGAGCATTTCCCGGACACTACACTTTATTATCCCCCCGGGACACACGTAATTGCTCCTTCGCAACTCCGCCAGTCGGTTTTGACTGTCCACATTACGCAATGCGATATGCCACAACAAATCTTCCACAGAATTGATTGCACCGCCTGAATCATTCGTCGTCGGCTCGTCTTCTCTGACCGAATGATTAATGAACGGACGAAATCCATGCTGAGTCGCTTGTTGACTTACGACCGGCCAGCCCTCACGTGGCGATGCGCTGCCGCCGATGTCGATCTCCGCAACGACCGCTTTACGTTGCCTTCGATCAGCTGCCGAACATTTCCAGACAGGTCCGGAACAGTGACGAATGAGTATGACTGGAAAACTTTGAAAAACTGTGAGAAAAGCATAGAGAGCTTGTCGCAGGGATATCCTTGATCCAAACGTTAGACCAGGAGCCGCATCCTTTCCGTCTCATGGTTGACTGCCGTGGTTATCTTCCGATGTACACGAAACTTATGCTGACAAACGTAAGAGCTTCCGAAGCTTTGTGCTCAGACGCAACACGGAGCCCGACGAAGTCGCCTCAGGCGACCGAATACAGGATGTGAGTAAAAAAATGTCGGGAAAGTGTCGAGCTGTGGGTCCACTTTTGACAGAACACGATGAGTCGCTCAAAAAAATTGGCTCTCCTTGACCCGCGTGGTCGTGGATGGTCATGTCTGTCATCTTTTTAGCATTAAACGTCATAATCGTCCGATCTTTCTATACTGACAGAAAGGCCCAGGTGGGGTAGGAGAAGACGACGGGGGAATCTTGTACCTACCATTGGTTTTCGAAAGCGGATAGGAGTGGTGTGAGCGAACTTTTTGAGCAGCGCTTTGTGCTGATTGTTGCGGCGAAAGCATCGGTGTCCCCTGCGACCCTCCGGCAGACCGAACTGCCTTTCAAGATTCAACTGGCTCGTATAGTTCCATCGGAGGATCACGACACCAGCCCCTCTGCTTGGTACGGAACGACTCGTAGTTAGCTGACGCTATCCATGCCGTATCAGAAACCTTTTACCCCAGATTTATTGATGGCCGGGATAGATGGCGCGGGGTAGAGGAGGGGGGACCTCTTGAGAGCCGGACTGATGTGACGAGGGTTCAGAAGAGCATTCTTCTATTCATGGAATGCGCTATGGAAATATTCGAAGGTCCAGATCCGGGGGTACGCACTGGGTTCACAAAGTTCACCAGAGAACTTGGACTATGAGGGGTAACTTTCCGTGAGGACTTCGACACTGAAATCTGTTGCGGGCGCCGTCCGGAATCCGGCACACCTAGCTGCGAGTCCCTTGACTCGACCAACTCTCGTTACGGGTTAGAGAATGCATCCTGGTTCTCCCTCTTCCGCTTCCGATTTTCTCGGCTCACTCAACGCCCTAACCGCGGAGAGAGTCGCCGCCCGGATCCCAGCGGATGTGAGTCAAAAACGGGCCCCGTTTTCATCGGGCGCAAACGCAAAAAAAGAGCATATTCACTCCATTCTAGCCCTCACTCATCGAAGGAGACACTTCTCAGAATAATAGGCTTCTCATTAACATGCGAAGTTTCGCTTTCACCGAACACATTGACATCTCGATGATTTCAATTCAGAAGGTCGGATCCTGACTGAATGCGATATTTGGTAATCGCCTCCACGATGGATGCTGCTTTTTGTT